CACCTGTGCCTCTCCCAGGTCATTGTTCACCACAGTGAAGTTCAGCCCAAGTTCCTCCACATCATCTTCGTAGCTCTTGAGAAACAGCAAGTTCTTATAGACTTCAGGGTCTAAGGAGGCCAAGTGATGAATGTCCACGTCGGCGCTGGTCCCTAGCAGCTTGGAGAGGAAGAAGCCTGCGAAGGGTAGCTCCACCAGCGTGTTCTCGTAGAGAGCCTTTCCAAGCATTCTGCCCAGGAAGTAGTAATGTCTGGCAAAAGAGTCTCCCACGAGCATCTGAGCAGCTGGGTTGGGGTACAGAAGCCTTTCATTAGTAGTCTTAAAGAAGCCCTGGTTGGGGTTAAATCCTGATTTCAGTAGTTCATTTAAAAACTCTCTGAAAATGCCGCCACCGTCGATACCAGCTTCGTCCAGCCCATGGGCATTGAGCAGGTGCATGCGGATGCGCTTTTTCAAGTCAGGCTCATTTTCTGGAGAAAGCTTGTCATAAGCATCTTCATAAATATAATTTCTTCTTATTGTGACATTAATTCCATCCAGAAATGGACCATCTCCTTGAACTTCTTGCTTATCTGCATAAATCAACTTCTGAAAAATCTTTACTCACTCCTCAAAGGGAACCACAAAAGGCAGATCTGTTAGGATGGCGAGTTGTCTTTCTTCAGATACCAACAGTGGTGGGGACTCCAAACCCACATCCAGAGTTGACTGCAGCGGGCCTATCCTCCCCATGTGCCGGAACCTCCACACGTGTCTGGATGCTGGCACGTAGAGCTGAGTGACCTTATCTGCTTTAATATCTTCTTGTTCTGACAGCCAGTGATTTGGAGGGCAAAAATTTCTCCTCGTGTCTCTGGACTTCAACATTTTCACTAGATTGGTGATAACCTTAAATAACTGAATCCACCGTTTCTGCTCCATCTGTATACACTGCTGCATCTCAGAGCTGGTGGTGACTCCAACACTCTGAAACGCTATGACGTACTCTTCCCGCACCTCTGGCTTTGTCTCTGGGTAGGCCAGCTTGATGATGCCCAGGCAGGCGTCCTGCAGGCACCGAGACAGCACCACCAGCTCCTCCGAAGTGAATGGCATCATCGATGATTGTCTCTGACCTACAACTTCTATGGGATCACCAAAGAATTCATTATCGTGTATGGAAATTAGCGAATGGCTAAACAAGGAGCTGAAAAGGTAAAATAGTGGGATGATGCGACCAGAATCTTCAAAAGACATAGGAGAGCCCCTGGATATCACCTGCAGCAATGGCAGCAGAGATCCAGTGATCATCTGTGTGGTCATGGAAGATATCAGAAACCAAAGATGTCTCAGAAACCTGGCATTGAAGGCTAAACTATAGAGGAGCCTGACTCTGGGCACCATCATGTGGCGCTGCACCATGAGTGTGTGGCACACGGAGGCCATCCCGGTGAACACGTCTTCACTGGCCGAGTCCCTCCACACCAAGTTCAACAGCGTATTGGTCTGCTGCTTGGTATCCAGCTTTTTGAGGCACTCCTCTGTGATGTATGGTATTGATAGTCTACCATCCTCAGGGCTTGAGGGCTTCTTGGCCTCTTCACTCTCCTCCTCAGAGTCACTGGCTGAGTCTTGACAGCTGGCGCTGGCAGGCGAGACTGGTAACTGAGGAAGAAAGGTCTGGAGCACCCGTAAATATACCAGCAGGCCTTCCTCAGAGAGAGCCCCCAAGTAATTTTCACCAACAGTTAAAACAAAATAGAAAAGCCACGGTGCTCCCCTGCTCCTCTGTGAACACCTCCTCTCTGTGAGCAACAGTGCACTCAGAAAGGGCTCGTAAGGGAAGCTGGTCTGCACGTCTGCTAATGCCGGAATGACAAAATGAAAGATCTGATCTGTAAAAGGTGCTGCTACAAACTCCTCTGTGAAGGCCTTAAAAATCTGTTGTCTTGCACCTTCGGGACAGGAGTTGTAAGTAAAGTGCAATGGTTTTAGAACATTCTCTAGCAAAGTTTTTGCTATAGGAACTCGAGATAAATCAGAATATTCAATACTTGATGGAAGTTTGCTGTTAATCAACAAATAGAGAGACCTATAATACCCATTTTGAATCATGTAGTGCAAAATTTGTTCAATTACTGATACCACTTAGCTAGCATCTTGTAAAACAGGCAAGTAAGTGTTCTCAGATGAAAACACCTGGAGCTTTCTCATTGGAGGTGCAACATTCAAACTGTGTCGTTACAGTTTTGCAGCAACCTGCAACAGAGGCTCATCAATCTCTTGATTTGAAATAAGCATGTAAGTCTCTCGGATCCATCCAACTGCTTGACAAACAGTGCACTGTGTTTAATTAAGTTCTGATACAGCCATATCAAACGTTTTGAGTCTTCATCTTGTTTGTAAAAAAACAGAAGCTGCCTCACCAAAAGGGTAAGGTTGGGACCATTAGCAATGGGGAAGGAGCCGCCAGACTGTGCCAGGCGAGCACAGCGATCAAACGCACTTCTCTGGACGGAATATTGCTGTTTTCTATCTCTATAGCCTCGAATAAATGACTGGATAATTACTGCATTTTTCAGTCTTCGCCTTTCTTCCTCTCTCTTTCTTCTTTCTTCCTGAGTACGATGTAAAAGAGAAGCCTTTTCTTCCTTCCGACTCGCGCCGCCGAGGGACAGCTTGGGCCGCGTCTTGAAGTCCCCTTCAAAGCTGAACATCTTTACAGCTTATCCCATCGGGGAGCGCCCGGCCGAGCAGCCAGGCGGTGTGTCGGCTCTCGGAGCCCGCCCGGCCACGGGCAGCGCGACCAGGCGGCGGCCGGAGGCGACCGTGCCCGCGCCGCGCTCTGCCCTCCCGGCCCTGCCCGGGGCGCAGGGGCGGCGACAACGGAGGGGCGGCCCTACCTCGCCGCTCCTCATTCACGCCTCCCGCTGCTGCGGCCCCGGCCTGGAGCGCCCGGCGGGCCGCGTACCCCACAACCGCTCCGAGAGCAGCCGCCTCGGGAGGCAGGTTTTTGTTTTTGTTTTTGTCCGAGGGCTGGGTTTGAACCCGCCACCTCTGGCATATGGGGCCAGTGCCCTACTCCTGTGAGCCACAAGTGCTGCCCACATTGTTTGCATTTGTTAGGTAGAGTCTAAGTTGTAGCTGTGCCCCTCACCCAGGAGGTGCGCCATACACCCCTGCATGGTGCACACTGGGTGGGAACTTATCAGTCTCCTCCCTCCCCTTGAGTTTGTGTTTTTTCTTGTGTGGGCGTGTATTAGTTCATTTACTGGTTTCATGTTAGTATTGAGTACATAGAATACTTGCTTTTCCATTCTTGTGGTACTTTACTAAGAATGATCTCCAACCCTATCCAGGCAAATACAAAAGATGTAAAGTCTCCATCTTTTTCTGGCTGAATGGTACCCCATGGCAGGCAGATACCACAGTTTACTAATCCATTCATGTGTTGATGGGCACTTGGGTTGATTATACATTTTGGTGATTGTGAATTGAAAGCTCAATGTTTTTTATTCGTACTTGCTCTTTTTATGCTGTAGATATGAATATTTATTGGTCTTTTTTAATGATTTATTGGTCTTTTTGATGGAATCGTTCCCCCTCCCATGATAGAGTTTGGGTGACCCTGGGAGGCAGACAGGCCCACGTCAGTATCCATCTTGCTGGCCTTTTGCTAGTTGGATGACCTTGGGCAAGTCCCTTCAACTCCCTAAGCCTTTGTTTCTTCTTTCATTAAGTGAGGGTCATCCATTCCTCATTGAGCCATTATAAGGTCTAAGAAAAAAAAATCAAAACATCTTTCAGAGTAGCCAGAGCAGTACCTGAGTTCTGGGGCCTTTTGGCTGAAACTTCGGACAATGTGGTGGGCACTCTGAAAGTCAGAGCAGCTCTTCCTCCTTCTAACTCTACTGAGCACCTGCTATCTGCCAGGGATTCATGTTCAGGGCGGCCAGTGCAAGTACATCTGGTTTCTGGCCTTCTGGTCCCCCCCAGCCCCCACCCACCCCCCACTCACCTTGCCATATTGACACACTTGCTATTTGCTCTGGAATCTGGACCCTGTGAGCTCTGGGCAAAGGCTGAGTATAGCGAGGGCTCAAGGGCACCCCGTGTTGGTGAAATGCCTCCCCGACGTTTGAGAGGACCATGACCCCAGAGAAGCAGTGGATATATACTCGCATCTGCCAGCTTTATTTTTCAGTTGAAAAGTCAAGGGAAAATCCTGCACCCCCAAAGAAAGTGAAAAACTTTGAATGCTATATCCTGGGGCCCTAGATCCCAGATGCCCATCTTGAAAAGGAGACCTTCTCAAGTGCCCCTGGAAACATGCAGCTTCAGTGTTATCTATCCCCCAAAAGGAAGCTCCTCGACCAGTCCTTGGATTAAAGGGCTTGGGACCATCAGTTTCCCTCAAGGAACCTCTTGAGACTCCCAGCATGGCTGAGGAGGCCCTCCCCGCCGCCAGCTGAGGGCTTGTGCGGTGGAGGCTTTGAGCTGTCTGCTGAGCAAGTGAATGAATGCCTTGAGCAAGAACAGTTACTGGGACGGAGCTCCCCCACCAGGGGGGGTCTGGCTGGCCAGCGACCAGTATCGTAGGGAGGAGGTGTGGAGGAAGGCAGAGAATCACCAGGACGGCTGGGGAACATTTTGAAAGCAACAGCAAACAGCTCCTTTCCTGTGTCTGAGTTTCCCCTGAGTTTCCTGGCATCCTATGCTGGTTATTCTGTCCTAGCCAAGAATCTCGATCTTGCCAAGAACCTCGATCTTGCCAAGAACCGGAATTGTGATCCGAGGTGACAGAGTCTGAAGTTTTCCTCAGCCTGGTGGTAGCTCAGGCAAAATCTCAAACTGGAAAAAAGAGCAGAGCAGTGAGGCCAGGCTGTGGAGCCCTGAGGGCAGGGCCCCCCAGGGCTTCTCCCCACTGTCAGAAAGGGCCAGCCCCACCCCTGGATCTCAGGCCCACATTGAAGCATGGGCCCTTTCAGCCTAGGCAGGTCACAGACCCCGGCCCCCACCCCGACCCCCTGTAGACAGTCCCCAGTAGCAGATGAGTTTGCAAACTGTCTTCCTTCCCAGGCTCTTGTCCATCACTTTTCTTTCTGGTCTTACTGTGCAGATGGTGTCTCCTACCGGCTTCTGTGTCTCCTTCCACATGCTAACGGGGCTGCCTCATGTTTTCCCATCAGGTAGCTGTGCAGGGTACACACCCAGCACTGCCAGGTTAAGGACGTCTGCCTCTATCCCTACCCCTAAGAGAATTGTCTAAAATATGATGGGCATTAGGGAATTTTATTAAAAGCCTTTTCTCTTGTTTATTTTGATGGTACTTCAGTTCTTTTTCAGATATGTAATTTTCAGTAATTAGTAAATTAACTGATTTACTCAATTACTAATATTCGGTAATCAGTAATTTTAATAATTTCTAGTTCCCTGCTGAAGTCTGAGTCCCTGTGGGTTTGTGTCCATTGTCTGTCTGCCAGTTCTTGCACTTAGATACTCAGAATATCTTTATACAGGGTGGACGTAGAGTTCAGGTGTAATTTAAATTTGTTTATTATTTAAATTGTCCTGAAAGGGTAGAAATAAACAAATGTATATATTTATATCTGACTATAAATATATAGTGATGTATAAAATATGACTATATTTCTATATGCAGTTAATAAATTTATATATTTGTTTATATATATTATTTGTGTGGATATATAGATATATGACTACAGTGTTCACTGTTGTATCACCATGCCTGGCATGGAGTA